ATGGGACGGAAGTTGCGATTTACTCTATTTTTAGTGAGTGGTTGATTTTTGTTATTTTTAGCTATGATTTTATTTTATTTTAATTGTTATTTTTTCCTATAATTCAACTAAATCTTTTGAAGTTAGAATTCCGAATTGTTAAAAAACTAGTAACGTATATGTAGGTGACGTCGTGTAAATCGTTTTGATTATGAAGCAGAGAATCAGAAACGACAATCTTGTTTCAAGTTTTGTTTTATTCTTCGTTCCGCTCGATGCTAATTTTATAGTTTGTTATGATTTTTAAGATGATATATAAATTCAAAGTTAATATGTTCTATTGGTCAAAGATTTAAAAACAAAATAGTTTGATAACAGTATTTTTAATCAACCCATATCATTTGTTGTTCTTGTCTTTTAAAGATCAATTTATGCATTAATTAGTGGTTTTTGCAACCTGTAATTGAAAAACAAAATGAAAAATTTATGTTTGAATAAAATATGGTAAGAATATTCAAAAACTATATTTGTTATCATAAAAGAAATATTGAATCATAATGGTGGTGCATGATTGGTTTAAGCTTGGCTCCAAAGGTCAAAAGTACATGGAGGTCATTGGTTCAAATCCAAGGAGAAATAAAAATCTCTTTTGTGGCCATGGAGGTTCAAATGCGGTGACTCCAGGCTATTTGCAAACACTACTAGAAAACTGACCATTTCCGGCGGATATCCGGCGGACACTAAAAAGTCAACATTTTATTGACTTTCAACAATTTCCGGCGGATTTCTTAAGTACTCAGTTTAATCTTGAATGTACATCTAATTACAACATTTTATCGGCGGATTTTCTAATTTATTTATTTTTAAAAAAAATTAACAATTTTCCAGCGGATTTCCGGCGGATAATTAAATATTTTTTAAAAAAATATATAACCATTTCCGGCGGATTTCTTAGTACTCAGTTTAATCTTGAATTTACATCTAATTACAACATTTTACCGGCGGATTTCCGACGGATTTTCTAATTTATTTATTTTTTAAAAAAATTAACAATTTTCCGGCGGATTTCCGGCGGATAATTAAATATTTTTAAAAAAATATATAACCATTTCCGGCGGATTTCCAGCGGACAATTAAAAAATTTTCAAAAAAAAATAAACAATTTTCCGGCGGATTTCCAGCCGAAAATTAAATAATTTTTTTAAAAAAATTAATATTTCCGGCGAAAAATTTTAAAATTCTTTGAAAAAAGAATTAACAATTTTCCGGCGGATTTGCGGCGGATAATTAAATATTTTTTAAAAAAATATATAACCATTTCCAGCGGATTTCCGGCTGAAAATTAAAAAAATTTCTAAAAAAAGAATAAACAATTTTCCGGCGGATTTCCGGCGGCAAAATAAATAATTTTTTTTTAAAATTTAACATTTCAGGCGGATTTTCGGCGGAAAATTAAAAAAATCTTTAAAAAAAATTAACAATTTTCCGGCGGATTTTCGGCGGATAATTAAATATATTTTTTTTAAAATATAACCTTTTTCGGCGGATTTCCGGCGGAAAATTAAATAATTTTTTTTTAAAAGTTTAACATTTCCAGCGGATTCCGGCAGAATATTAAATAATTTTTTAAAAAAAAGAATAAACAATTTTCCGGCGGATTTCCGGCGGATATTTAAATAATTTTTCTAAAAAAATTTACCATTTCCGGCGGAAAATTAAATAATTTTTAAAAAAATTAACAATTTTCTGACGGATTTCCGACGGATAATTAAATAATTTTTCTAAAAAGATTTATCATTTCCAGCGGAAAATTAAATAATTTTTAAAAAAAAGAATTAACAATTTACCGTATTGGGCTTTAATGAATCGTATTGGGCTTTAATGAACCATATTGGCCTTTAATGAACCGTATTGGGCTTTAATGAACCGTATTTTGGGCTTTAATGAACCGTATTGGGATTTAATGGACCGTATTGGGTTTTAATGGATCGTATTGGGCTTTAATGGAAGTATTGGGCTTTTATGAACCGTATTGGGCTTTAATGAACCGTATTGGGCTTTAATGAACCGTATTGGGTTTTAATGAATCGTATTGGGCTTTAATAAACCGTATTGGGCTTTCATGAATCGTATTGGGCTTTAATGGAAGTATTGGCCTTTAATGGAACGTATTGGGTTTTGGTGAAACCTTTTGGGCTTTAACATTTCCGGCGGATTTTCGGCGGATATATCCGCCGGTATTTTTTTAAAAAAAATTAATTGTTTTAAAAATAATATTATTATTTATATATTTTTCCGGCGGATTTCCGGCGGACTTATCCGCCGGTATTTTTTTAAAAAAAATTAATTCTTTTAGAAAATATTATTTTTTCCGGCGAGAAATATTTTCGGCTGATTTCCAGCGGAAATTTCCACCGGGATTTTTTTTTTTTTTTAAATACTTAGGGATTTGTTAAGTTAATCAAGATTTTATAAATAAACAGGCGAAAAATTTCCGGCGGCCGTGATCCACCGGAAATGGGGAAAATCCGCCGGAAAAACAATCACCGGCGCCACTTTTTCCGGCGGATTTGGCCGCCGGAAAAAGTGAGTTTTTTGGTAGTGAAAGCAGGTGGTCGCTCTGGGATTAGTCGGCTCGTATAGCGGGTTGAATATCCAGATTAATATATATATATATATATATATATTGAGTACCATAATATTTCTAAAACATAGACCGATAGTAAAATGAAGCAAATGAGTTGGACTCTCATATTTCGTATATGAACTATTTATGAAATCAAGTTGATTTATTCTAATTTAGAAAATCAATATGAAGCATTAACCTGAAAAAATGTGGCTTCATATTGAAAAAATGATTTACCACATAGAACAATTGATATTTCACAAAACATGTTCCTCAATAAATAAATAAATAAAACCTTTTAATAATCAAATCTAAGAACAATATGAGATAGAAACCAGTGCTCTAAAAGGCTCGTCACAGTAGCCGTCGTGGCGCACCGTGCCTCAAAGCTCGTGTCTGACACGACGTTAGAGCTTTTGTCACGCATGGGTCAATGCGCAATTTTATAACGTGGTGTTTGATTTTTCTTACCTATTTAGTGTCTTCTTAGTGAAGTAGTGGATAAAATATAAAGTACATTGGTTTCTTCGACATCTCCATGTGCCTAGACATGATAGAGGCTTGCAAACAACCCCAAAAGTGTGTTGTTAATAATTATACCATGAACAATTAATCATAAAAATTTAAACAAACATCAACTAATTCAGTTTAATATAAAATTCAATTCACACTTTAGAAACTCTTTGACCAGCAAAAGCAAGTGAAATATAACCTGCAAAAAACGAATATTGCAAAAAGATACGATCAATATACATAATAACCCGTCTAGTTTAAGAGGAAGAGTAACCTCTTCAATATGATACAAGAAGAAACTGGAAGTTAAAATTGATGTTCTTCATATTGGGTATCTGGTTGCAAATCACGACAAAATCTATCATATAACACCCATAAAGCAAAAAAGGAAATTAGAAAATCAGAACTTTCTAAAACAGGAAATAGAATAAAATTGATAACTACAAAAAAAAAACAAATAAAGATAGTCTGTGGAAACAAGGATCCCAAAATAATACCTCAAAATACGGGGTTATTTCTCGGATTATCCTTCTTCCTCTTCTTGATTTGCATGACCTCAGACATGTATTCCAGGACGACAACGATGAGACTTTCACTCCTCCATCTATGGGAGCATATTTTTTGGCAATATCTGATAGTTTCATAACCAGTTACGAATAATTAATTAAAAAATCCTCAAAAATAGTTTCAATGGGAATAAAAATCTTGAAGAAATCAGAATAACTTCAAGACAATCGTACAAACACATTGCTCATCTCATTCTTTCTTTAAATTTGACACCAACATAAACTATGCAAAAATCTACCACTGTGATTATCTCACATTTCTCACATCTTCAACGGGACAACTTTTTCATGAAAAAAGGGACGGCGCCTTACAGAAAAACTTCATTAAACAAAACAAATATTACAGAATTACGAATGGCATACCCCTCGAATTACAAATTCATCATCTGAGCAATGACTAAACTCTAAACCCAATAATATAGTTCAAAACCCTCTTAAACACCAAAATTAAACCTTTTCACGAGAAATCGAATATGAAGTCCCAAGTGATGAGCAAAAGTGGAAAAATCTTCATTATCATTGACCTAAGAAGAAACATAAAAAACTCTATCGATGAGGCCCAAGCTGTCACCATCAAAAATTACAAAGCAGCCCAAAATTCTAGACTTAAGAGACCAATCAATATGGTCCACATAAGCCTTTTGTGGACATCCACAACCCAACTTTTTCTGACAACCTGAATTTTCAACCGTTGCATCGAAATTCATCAATGGCGGACTTCCACATAAAGCATCCACGGACGTCCGCGGTCAGATTGAAATTTGTTCATCAGCTTTGCATTAATTGTTTTCTTGATCAACACACAACCTTCATTTCTTTTCTTTTCTTTTCAATAAAATCATATTTTTAAAAACATAATCATTAAGATATCTTGACTTTAATTTTTAAATAAAAAATTATTTATATTAAAAAATTATCCAAAAGTGTACCTTTTAATATTCCGTTGACGAAACAAAATGACTTCGATTTGAATCTTCACAAGAACTCTTGGAGGCATGCTTCATATGATATACATTTCGAGTGCAACATGTTTTTTGATAAAAAAAACAACTCTTTAACTAATATAATCCATTCTTAGATTAAAAAAACAATGAAATAGTTAGAATACACTGTAAATCGGGTTTCTTTTTGTTAATCATCAAAATAACGGGATTATGTCAAATGTATTTAAAAATGAGGAAATTTATTTCCGTACACTTGCGGCAACACACCAAGATGGCTCCAAACGCCTTACCCCCATCCACCATGAAGTGTTGAAGGAAAACCAAGGTTTCAGCGCCATCCACCAACTGATTGGAATTGATGATACTTGGCCAATTGCATTTTTCAAAAACATACTCGAAGAGCTTTGAAATCGTTGAAAAGGCATAGAACAGCTTCATAACTCCAAAGGATCTGATCAGGCTCATCCAAATATTTAACAGCCCATAAGCAATCCAGAACAGAAGAATCCAATCACTCTTAGTTAAATATAAATCCAGCAACCATATCACAAAAACAAAAATCCCATATTGGATAAGTTATAAATCATGAGCTGAAATTATCTTTTAAAAGCAACAAATATATGGCATAAAGAAAAAAACCTCCATCCAGACCATGTTTCAGGAATATTGCAATCTGGCCAAAGGCCATTGCAATCCTCAAGCCGAACCAAAGAATGCTAGCAACTGCAAAGTGTAACCATGAGAGAAAATGAGCCAAAAAAAAGGAGTTAAACACCATATCAATAGCAAGAGATGAAACAAAAATTGTTGCAGTCCCAACCCTTTAACAACAACAAAAACACCAAAGACAATAGCCCCAAAAATTGAGATTAGGACAGTAGCTTCCACCTCCAAGCTAAACACCATATGGATAAGCTCCCGAAGCAACCAAATAAAAAAGAGCAGCTCAATAACCTTGGGAAAATAACAAAAAGCTTGATGCCTATGAAACATCATAGGACACATATTTAGGGGCCTATAAAGCTTGAAATATCTAAGATGAAGAACAACAACCCTTATAGAAATACCATTGTTGTGACAAAGTCGTTAAATTCCAAACAGATAACCATATAATCAAGGATTTTCTATTCAACAACCATAAAACCAAAAGAAGCTCCAAAAACATAATACAAATCATCATCAGACAACAGAGAACTATAATGGCATAGAAGATGATCCAACCAAGGAATAGAACTGATCCAATTGAAAACGGATCAATCGGAGACAATATAGGAATTTTGGTATTCTGTTTACCTTCGTCTTCAAATTTATCCCAATTTTCATTCCATTCGGTTGCTCCTTCTTGAATGGCAGCCAGCTGAACAATTTTAAAAAGAACAAACCCTGTAAACAAAAAGAAACCGATAAACATATCGGTGGTTTCAAGAAAGAAAAGTGGAAGTAACAAAATCCAATGCATATTAAGTAACAAAATCACATACCAATAGATGAATCGAGGAACCTTAAGATTGTTGTCACTGTTGCTGAAAATAAACGAAAGAAAGTAAAAAATGAAAAAAGAAAAACAAAATAAAGGACAAATACTTACCTATGGTTTAAGTTGTATGTTCTCTATTTAATTCTTGAGTTTCTGATTCATAGAATATTGATTCCTTTAAGACCTTGTTGCTCAAAATTGAAAGACAAAATGAGAATCACCGTCGTTTAGAAGAACAAAATCGGGAACTTGTAACTTTGAACTACAATGTAATTGAGAACATATACCTTAACCATTGAAGAAGATATGGAAAATGTGTTATCCAATTCAAATTGAAGAAACAACAAAGATCAGTTTTCAAGTGCTTCCAAGATTTGAACAGAATCCTAGTTCCTTGTGATCCATCAAAAGAAGAGGTACTATATTTTATTAAATCTTGTGGATGAGAAGAACTAGATTCTGGTGTTGGATGTTTGTAAGGAGATATTTCATCGACCACACGGACACGGAGGTTTAGCTGAGAGGAGAGGAATTTATGCGAAACGTGTTGAAAGAGATGAAAAGGCGATTCAATTGTCTGCATGAATATGTTGTACTTGTTGCATTTTAAAAGATGCACTGCTTAAAAGTTCAATATAACCATAACTGATGCATCATAAATGAGTATAGAGAACCATTTTAGGCCTTTTATAATATAGTATGGATTTGTATGTATTCATGATATTATATAATATTATTAAATCCAAAAACATTCAATAATGAGCATAGTTGTTAGGTATTGACAATAAAATTATAATGGTATAATTTGTAATAAAAGAGGTACATCTTTTAATGTATTTTAGTTAATCTGTGATTATGTATTTTAATTTGATAAAGGTATAGAATGAAAAATGAAAAATATCACATATCTTGGATGAAGTAAAGACTCTGGTTCTCATGAAGCTACCACCGCATCAATTTCATTTGGAATTTATGATCTTGTTTATGTAGTGGACCAATTTCGTTAACATATCACCGAGCCATTTTTTATTAAAATAATGACACCGGGCCATTTTTTATTAACATAATGACATCGAGCCCTTATTGCATCACATGCTACTGAATCAACTTCTTTATTTTTATTCACAACAATTAAGACGTAAAAGATATAAAATAAATTAATTTGTAGGCATTCATGATATTTAATAGTATGATTAAATCCAAAATATTCAACATTTAGCTAATTTTGAAGATATTAACAAGACGATTAAAATGTATAATTAGTATAACACTATAGGGTACTCGCACAATGCAGCGAGATATATCTTGATTTTAATATTTCATTTTATTTTTATTTCAATCGATGTTATAATATGGTCTTATATGATTTTGAAAAAGCGATGATGTTTTTATTTTTGAATAAAATATAAATTTGAAGATATCATAAAATTTTGATAAAATTATATCGATATTAGTATTAAATTAACTATTTAAAATTCTATATTTTTGTGTAATTTTTTAATTCAATTTTTTAATTACAATTTAATTTAAGTTCAATAACTAAGTAATTTATATTTTGTTTAGTAATATGATTTTCTTATAAAGATAATAGTTAATTATTTTGTTAGAACTCGATAATTATTCTAATTAGATTTTTGATTTTTTATATTTTAAAATGAGATGTTTATTCTCTATCTGATTATGTTTATCCGCAGTTAGTTACACGAATTCAAACATGGAGCTTTAATACGTTTAGCTTCAATAATGGCATAAGTAAGTCCACTCTCTTTATATTTCTCAAAGTAACAAATCAATACCTCTAAATTATTGACCGCAACATCAAGTGTATGATATCTTTAGATTGTTTTTGCTAACCAAATTGATTATATATAAAATTTTATGCCAAATAACCAAACTGACAATAAATTCAAAACTTGAAAGTTCACTATCTAGCAAAGATTCAGCATCTCTACATAATTTTCCATCATCGCTAACTTGAGATAATTTCAACAAAGCTTTGAGAATTGAAGAAATACAAATGCAATTGACTGTATCTAGATTTGAAGGATTAAGATTTGAGAAACAATGAAGGGTTGAGATTTGAGAGTTTAATCAACAATCGTGTATTCAAGTATATATAGTCGGGCAGTCAGCCTTGCATCGACTAATCATCAAGATCGATTCATAGTCCCATGGACAGTCGTTAGACACGTTATTGTTAATCGTCTTCCTCTGGAACTGGAACGTCATCGTCGAAAATCGAAAAAGTGGAACACTCAAAGAACAATAGAAATCGTCAATTTTAAATCGCCAAAAGTCAATCATCTTGTGAACTGTGATGCGTCTATCTTATTGTCACTGATTCAAGTCCTTGGATTTTTTATTAACAGACCTGCTCAGTTAGGTCTCTGTTTATAATTAAAGCACAAGTCTCAAATTATTAAACCCTAAAACCCAAAACCAATATTATATAAAAATTTGATGCCCCTTTGGGCTTTGATGCCATGTGCGGTCGCAAGGGCTGCATGTGCCCAGGGTCGGGCCTGGGGAAGGGTAGATTAGGTTTTGTTCTGATTTTGAGATTAAGGGGCTGTTTACCAAACGCTTACTCGGGTAAGTGAACACCAAGTCTCATTAACTTATCGAATGAATATGGTAAAGACCAAAAATCTTACCCGGTAAGAGTGAGAGAAAGACCAAGAGTCTTACCCGGTAAGTGAGGGCGACGACTCTTACCACGGTAAGCGCTTACCGGGTAAATTGTTGCGTACGATATCGTTTTGGTGGACTAAAATCTTACCTGATAAGTAAATGATAGTGTTAAATTTACCTGTAAATGCTTACCGGGTAAATGTTTGGTAAACGGCCCCTAAGTTTTGTTTTAATTTTGGTGGGGAGGGTAGATAATGTCAGGAAAAAAAAATTCATGTCAATAATCATGTCAGTCAATGATATTGAATTGGATGCTACATTATTTACCACATAAGTATGTGTAACAACTCTCCTATCCCAAATACACATAATTCACATCATCATTCTCATAATACTAAAATAGTATTATTACAAAACATGAACAATCAAAATGTATCTAAAATACATATGCATAACAAGCTAATATCACAATTAGACTTTTCCTTTGCCTTTATCTTTCAGAGCACGCTGTCCTTTATAAGCTTGAGAATCAAAACCTTTTGATATCTTTTCTTCTTCCTGATGTGCAAACTTCAGAATCTTCAGAGAGTTTTCCAAATTGAAGTATGTGTATGTGTGTGTTTCTTTTCATCAAAAATTATATATACMTACCCAYCCAAAAGGATTTTGAGAGGCGGCTTAATAGCCGACCCTCTCCCTTTCTTTTCTTCTTTTAAATGCTCACACACACACAAATCACATACATACATAACATACATATATATATATCATATATATATATATATATAACCAAAATAATAACCAGACTATTACAGTATGGCAATTGGTTATGCATTTGAGTTGGTTATTTAGGTTTTTAAATGTTTGAAACTTTACATTTTAGGTACCAAAACGAAAGTTTTGAAAGTATGTTACCTAAAATAGGAATCAAAGCAAAGTACGTTACATTTTCAAGAAAATTAAACCAAAACAGATAAACTTATTTTTTTTAATGCATCTTAGTTCATACGATTATTTATGTTAATATGATAATAACGTAAAAAAGTAAAGGATATAAAGTAAATTAGATAATTAATTATAAGGATATGAGTCGTAATTTAGAAATTAAAAATAATTTAATTTTTAATATATTGAAGGTTACGCTTAGTTTAATAATTAATTTTAAATTACGATTTGTTTTAACTGTGGGCTGCTCTAACCCGAACCGAACCGAACCGAATGATGAGGGATGGATGGCCCATATTTGTTGGGAATTGGGTTTCTGGTTTGCTTGTAGAGCCCAAAATCCCTTAACGTACGCCGAACGAAACCATCTCAAAATCTTCACACAGTTCTTCCATTTCTTCAACCAAATCGAACAAGGGTTTTAGGGCTCAATCCAATTCAAAAACTTTCTGCTAAAACCCTCCATATCAATGAGCGCAAAAATGGCGGCCCTTACAACTACTCTTCACAACCTTCCTTCAACCGTAGCTCCGAATCCGAATCGAAGCATCTTCTCCATTCATCGTGTAAGTTCTTCAAATTTTCAGTTTTAGTTCTTCAAATTTTGACTTTTGTATATGTGCTCTCTAGATTTCGTCTTCATCTGGAGTATGGAACAAAGCTTCCTTTCGGATTCAGAGAGCTTCAAATGGTATCGATTCTTCATTCCAAATTTTACATTCTAGTATTATGTCTGGTTCGTAATTTCCTCTAGAGAACAATATCTACTTCGCTTTTGGTGTTGAAATGAAATCAAGTGAATTAGATTTTCCACCGTTTAACTGTCTTCCCCTTTGAACAACAATTTTGATTGTGAAAAGGTTAAAAGTTACTTTGTTACATTTTGATATCATTTTGGCTGTGTGAAATGCAAAAAAAAAAAATGGAAGTTTGCATTTTCTTTTTGCATTTTTCCAACAATTGAATTGAATTTTACACACAATCATCTACGAAATGCAATGGACTGGTAGTGTATCTAACTTCAAGTTTCCGTAGTCTTTTCTTTGGCTGGTTCAAAGAGGATGAAGACCCACGAGCCTTCATTTTCGAAGTCACGCAGAGGGTATCTCATGTGTGCTATAAATGATAACAAATCTGAGGCAAACTCGAAGGCCACAGATCAAAAAGTTAGTGATAGTAATGTGGTCGAACCATTTGGAGGTAAATCAGGATCTGTTTCGTTTATTGGATTGACTCACCAGTTGGTTGAAGAAGGGAAATTGGTGTCAACACCCTTCAAAGAAAGTCGGTCTTTGCTCTGGATCGTTGCTCCTATTGCAATAATCTTATCAGTTTTGATCCCACAGTTTTTCGGCATCATAAGTGATGAACTCATCAAGGATGTCGTTTTGACAGGTATTATATTACAGAGCATATTTTCTGGTGTTGGTTGGTTGTCTTGCTTAGCGTAGTGATTGTATAGAATAATCAAGTGATTAGGAGTTTTTAGATCATTGTATTTCAAAAGAACAATATGGTTTGTAAGAATGACCGATGTTGGACAAACCATGCAAGAAAGAAACATAAACCATGTACTTGTCATGGTTTAAAATCGATCACCCTTGCAAACTGCATTTCTTTTCATTTTGGATTTTGCAAGAACAATGGTTCGTTTGCAACGAAAAACCTAGTACCATGGTTCAAAAAGTGAATCACTCTAAAGAATTTGTTGGATTCTAAAGTTGGGAGACCATTAAACCTTTATATATGTAGGAATTTGACATCATTCTGTAAGGGCTCTTTTAGAGAGAATTCAAAGGGATTCCACATATCCCAATAGGCTTTTAACATTTTTGTGCTAATACATTTATTTCCATGCCATTATTTTCGTGCAGAGATTGTGTATACCGCTACTTCTGAAGTCATGTTTTACATAGGCCTGGCTACATTTCTTCTAGTAACGGACAGAGTGCAAAGACCCTATTTGCAATACAGCACCAAGAGATGGAGCCTTATAACCGGCCTTCGAGGATACCTAACATCTGCATTCTTGGTGATGGGGTTTAAAGTCTTAGCACCTCTATTTGCTGCATTTGTGACTTGGCCGTTGATCGGTTTGGCGGGCGTGGTTTCTGTCAGTCCGTACTTAATGGGCTGTTTGGTTCAGTTTATATACGAGAAAATCTGTGAAAAACGTGGCTCATCTTGTTGGCCTCTTGTCCCAATTGTTTTTGAGGTTTGTAGGTTTTTCACAATTTAATGAATCTTGATGATGGGGGGTTTTGCTAATGTTGGATGATTTTGGCAGGTTTATAGGTTGTATCAGTTGAGTAAAGCTATGCATTTCATGGAGAAGTTGATGTTTCAAATGAGGGGTTTGCCGAAGTCGCCGGAACTGATGGAGAAGAGCGGTGCATTGGCGGCAATGATCGTGACGTTTGAAGTTCTTGCGGTGGTTTGCATCTGGTCGTTTTTGACATTTATACAAAGGCTTTTTCCATCCAGACCTATTGCTGAGAATTATTGAGAGCTGATTTTTGTTTGTGTAGGATGTCTGTTGTAAAGTCAGTCAGTCAGTCGGTCTGTTTCTATGAGCTCATTCAGATGAGGATTGTTTGACAAGAGATAAAAATTCTAAAAACCAAGCCTTTTTACATGATTGTCGATCTAGTTAGACACATGTGCCATGCCAAATTTGTTGTAAATAAAAATAAAAATTACTTTTTTCCTTAATTAATAAATCTTAAAAATTAATTTTTTAAATAAAAATAAGATATTTAAATTTATCTCTTAAAAGTTCTACATTTTCAAAAAGTACAAGTATTAATTATTATTTAACTAGAAGTGTACTTGCGTAATGTAGCGAGATACATTGTGATTTTAATATTTTATTTTATTCTTTATCTCAGTCGATATTATAATATAGTTTTATGTGATTTTGAGAAAACAATGATGTTTTTATTTTTGAATATATGTTTGAAGATATCATAAAAAGTTGACAAAAACATATCGATATTAGTATCAAATTAGCTATTTGAAATTCCTCATTTTTTTGTATAATTTTTTAATTCAATTTTTTTATAATTTAATTTATGTACAATAACGAAATAATTTATATTTGGTTTTAATAATATAATTTTTTTATAAAGATAATAATTATTTATTTTGTTGGAACTCGATAATTATTCTAATTATATTTTAGATTTTTTGTATTTTAAAATGAGATATTCATCCTCTATTTGATTATGTTTATCCACAGTTATTTATACGAATTCAAACATCGAGCTTTAATAAGTTGTACTTATGCATAATTACTTGTAATCTTGAATTTTNTCAAATAAAACTTTGGCACATACTGAATTAACGAGGAATGTACCTGTCACCACTTCAGGATGCTCTTCAGCCTCACCTCTCGTCATTTGAAAGGCTCTCCCTTTAACATTACCTTCTGCCTGTCTTGTTCCTCCCCATCCACTTGGACTAACACGATTATCCACTTGGCCACGACCTGTTGGCACATATCCAGATCCTCGACCCCCAAAATATCCAGATCCTCGACCCCCAAAATATCCAGATCCTCGACCTCCAGCAAAACCAAACCCTCTATTCTTTGCTTGCGGACAATCAATACTTATATGTTGGGGAGAATTACAAATATAACATCTTCGCATCATCCGACAATCTCGAGCTATATGTCCAGTTTCCTGACATTTAAAACAGACTCGAGATTCTGTATTGCAATTTCCTTGATGTCTTTTATGACATCGAGCACACGCCTTATCATTGAATCGTGAGAGTGGTCGATTCATATTTTCCATAAACCTCGGTCTACGGAAATCAGTAACAGTAACTTCTCCCTTTCTTTTCTCTCCAACCCTTTCTTGCAGTTGTCGGTTAATATCTTGTTCTAATATTTCAGCAGCATCAACTGCCGCTTGAAATGTTGCCGGATTTCTGGATATCACATACTTTCGAAGATTTGATTCCAATCCCCAAATATACTTTCTCACCCTGCTGTTTTCAGATATAATATAGGCTTCAGCAAACCTAGATTGTTCCATGAAAACTTCAGTATACTGGCGAACCGACATATTTCCTTGTTCAAGACGAAGRAAATCATCTTCCAACTTTCGAATTGCAGCTTCAGGACAATACTGCATTTTAAACTTTACCACAAACTCTTCTCAAACCATAGTTTTCAAAATATTCGGGTCTGAACTAGACAGAACTTCCCACCAATAAAGGGCACTTGATCTCAAACGAGATACAGCAAACATAACTTTATCTTCTTCTGCACTTTTACTGATATGCAGACTCAGTTCAATCTCCTTAAGCCAACACATAGCTTTGACAGGATCACGCTCACCAGAAAATTTAGRAGGTTTACATGCAAGAAACATCTTGATATCCCCTCCCTTCTGTTCTGAGGACGCAGTAATAGGTACAGATGTACCAGTTATCGGTGTACTGGCTCCAACTTCCTCTTGCTCAAAATTTCTTTCCATATTTGGGTTAATTTGGTTTGTACRTTTTAACAAATTTACCAAACTCTCCTGAAATTTTCCCAACTCAGTTGCCAACATATCTTGAGTAATATATTCAGGGTCGGAAACATTATGTCTACCACTCGCTCTTCCTCGTCCTCGACCAGACATTGAACTTTCTTGAGCTGAAAATTCCTGGTCCCCACGAGTTTCTTGTCTCGTTCCTCGCCCTCTTCCTCGTCCTCTACTACGACTTCGTGTCTCAATTACATTTTCTGGATTCTCTTCTTGCATAACATTCCTTCTTCCGCGACCTCTTCCATWACCAGCAGAGGTTCTTTCAGACTGATTGAGATTATCTGCCATTTTCTCAATACGTAMCCTTTTYTGTCACATTTAAACACACATGATTATTCTCATAATCATAACATAGCAACACATAGCACATTTATCCTCATGTCTACTCATAACTCAAATTATATTAATCATATATAATCTACCTTTCTCATAATAGTTTCAGCTATAACATATTCCCATGTTCATAGACCCAGTGAAACCTATTATCTTAACTCTTCACACCACTAGTTTAAGTCTAWSTATTTCGCAAATACCCAGATCCCTTAAACTAAGGCTCTGATACCAACTGTAACAACTCTCCTATCCCAAATACACATAATTCACATCATCATTCTCATAATACTAAAATAGTATTATTACAAAACATGAACAATCAAAATGTATCTAAAATACATATGCATAACAAGCTAATATCACAATTAGACTTTTCCYTTGCCTTTATCTTTCAGAGCACGCTGTCCTTTATAAGCTTGAGAATCAAAACCTTTTGATATCTTTTCTTCTTCCTGATGTGCAAACTTCAGAATCTTCAGAGAGTTTTCCAAATTGAAGTATGTGTATGTGTGTGTTTCTTTTCATCAAAAATTATATATACMTACCCAYCCAAAAGGATTTTGAGAGGCGGCTTAATAGCCGACCCTCTCCCTTTCTTTTCTTCTTTTAAATGCTCACACACACACAAATCACATACATACATAACATACATATATATATATCATATATATATATATATATAACCAAAATAATAACCAGACTATTACAGTATGGCAATTGGTTATGCATTTGAGTTGGTTATTTAGGTTTTTAAATGTTTGAAACTTTACATTTTAGGTACCAAAACGAAAGTTTTGAAAGTATGTTACCTAAAATAGGAATCAAAGCAAAGTACGTTACATTTTCAAGAAAATTAAACCAAAACAGATAAACTTATTTTTTTTAATGCATCTTAGTTCATACGATTATTTATGTTAATATGATAATAACGTAAAAAAGTAAAGGATATAAAGTAAATTAGATAATTAATTATAAGGATATGAGTCGTAATTTAGAAATTAAAAATAATTTAATTTTTAATATATTGAAGGTTACGCTTAGTTTAATAATTAATTTTAAATTACGATTTGTTTTAACTGTGGGCTGCTCTAACCCGAACCGAACCGAACCGAATGATGAGGGATGGATGGCCCATATTTGTTGGGAATTGGGTTTCTGGTTTGCTTGTAGAGCCCAAAATCCCTTAACGTACGCCGAACGAAACCATCTCAAAATCTTCACACAGTTCTTCCATTTCTTCAACCAAATCGAACAAGGGTTTTAGGGCTCAATCCAATTCAAAAACTTTCTGCTAAAACCCTCCATATCAATGAGCGCAAAAATGGCGGCCCTTACAACTACTCTTCACAACCTTCCTTCAACCGTAGCTCCGAATCCGAATCGAAGCATCTTCTCCATTCATCGTGTAAGTTCTTCAAATTTTCAGTTTTAGTTCTTCAAATTTTGACTTTTGTATATGTGCTCTCTAGATTTCGTCTTCATCTGGAGTATGGAACAAAGCTTCCTTTCGGATTCAGAGAGCTTCAAATGGTATCGATTCTTCATTCCAAATTTTACATTCTAGTATTATGTCTGGTTCGTAATTTCCTCTAGAGAACAATATCTACTTCGCTTTTGGTGTTGAAATGAAATCAAGTGAATTAGATTTTCCACCGTTTAACTGTCTTCCCCTTTGAACAACAATTTTGATTGTGAAAAGGTTAAAAGTTACTTTGTTACATTTTGATATCATTTTGGCTGTGTGAAATGCAAAAAAAAAAAATGGAAGTTTGCATTTTCTTTTTGCATTTTTCCAACAATTGAATTGAATTTTACACACAATCATCTACGAAATGCAATGGACTGGTAGTGTATCTAACTTCAAGTTTCCGTAGTCTTTTCTTTGGCTGGTTCAAAGAGGATGAAGACCCACGAGCCTTCATTTTCGAAGTCACGCAGAGGGTATCTCATGTGTGCTATAAATGATAACAAATCTGAGGCAAACTCGAAGGCCACAGATCAAAAAGTTAGTGATAGTAATGTGGTCGAACCATTTGGAGGTAAATCAGGATCTGTTTCGTTTATTGGATTGACTCACCAGTTGGTTGAAGAAGGGAAATTGGTGTCAACACCCTTCAAAGAAAGTCGGTCTTTGCTCTGGATCGTTGCTCCTATTGCAATAATCTTATCAGTTTTGATCCCACAGTTTTTCGGCATCATAAGTGATGAACTCATCAAGGATGTCGTTTTGACAGGTATTATATTACAGAGCATATTTTCTGGTGTTGGTTGGTTGTCTTGCTTAGCGTAGTGATTGTATAGAATAATCAAGTGATTAGGAGTTTTTAGATCATTGTATTTCAAAAGAACAATATGGTTTGTAAGAATGACCGATGTTGGACAAACCATGCAAGAAAGAAACATAAACCATGTACTTGTCATGGTTTAAAATCGATCACCCTTGCAAACTGCATTTCTTTTCATTTTGGATTTTGCAAGAACAATGGTTCGTTTGCAACGAAAAACCTAGTACCATGGTTCAAAAAGTGAATCACTCTAAAGAATTTGTTGGATTCTAAAGTTGGGAGACCATTAAACCTTTATATATGTAGGAATTTGACATCATTCTGTAAGGGCTCTTTTAGAGAGAATTCAAAGGGATTCCACATATCCCAATAGGCTTTTAACATTTTTGTGCTAATACATTTATTTCCATGCCATTATTTTCGTGCAGAGATTGTGTATACCGCTACTTCTGAAGTCATGTTTTACATAGGCCTGGCTACATTTCTT